CCCACACCCCCTCCTCTGAGGTCACTGCTCTCGGGGTGTCCGCCACCCTGTGGAGATGCCCTTTTTCTTGGCTGATTTCAGGATCCTCTTTGATCTGTGGCTTCACTACAAAGTAACTGAAGATTCATGTTTTACTCCACCTGCCCAGAACCATGAGCTCAAATGTGTTTCTCTCTGTCTCTCAGGATTTCTCGTTGACCGACTCTAGGAAATGCTCGTCTAATCTCCTCGAAAACCCCGTCCTCCCTCCCTCTCGAGGCTTCTCCGGGCTCTTCCGTGGGACACACGAGATGTCGTTTATGCGTCCCCATTCCAGCCCGTGCCCTTCCCACATTCCACCCTCCCGTCCTGTGTTCTGGGCAGTTTCTTCAGGTCATTCTTTCCAAGCCAAATCTAACCTGTTGGCGTGAGGCTCCACGTCTGGTTTCCATTTCTAGAAGCTCTTTTCTTCTTTCCTAGGACCTTAGTTTCTCTTGTTTTAATCCTTTCCAATCAGCTTATTTTACAGTCTCTTTCTTTGATTTCTATTTTCTGAAGTTTTTAGAGGCCGGCCCTGCTCTAGCCGGGGCCTCTGGCTCCCGCTCAAGGGAGAGTGTTTCCTTGGGAGTCTGAACCCTGAGCCTCTGCCCGGTGGGACTCTGCCCGTGAGAATGAGCCAGGTTGAAGGGTGTACCCTCCAGAGGGACTTTTGGGGATGGCTTCAGCCAGACTTCCCAATTTTTATGTTAATTCTCATGACTGGGTGTTCCCAGACCGTGAGGCTAACGTACGTCTGAACCCCAAATACACGAATGGCACGCACCCATGATTCTGAGGTTCAGCAGTGGGAGAATTTCTTCCCCACGCTCAGATCCCCACCCAGAGTAGACGAGCTGGCTAACCCTCTGTCCTCCACCGACCTGGCCTTCTCTCTCAGCCACGAGTGTAGCCTTTCGGCTCCCAGCTCCATGCAGGGGGAGGGGAAGCTTGCTTCCAGCCCTCCCCCCACCCAATTTGTGTGGACGGGACTTTTCTCTTATTACGAGGTCCGAGCCCTTATTACGAGACTGACCCCAAGTGTTTTCCATAAGTGCACGTGCTTAAAAGGTTAGGTCTTCATTCCTGGAACGTAGACCTTAAAGTTTCCTTCTTTTAAAAGTCAGCTGTCAGCTTAAATGTTTGTCATATGTCACCTACCGTTTCTATGCGTGTAGCGGGAGCTTCTGGGTTATCTAGTTTATTGTGTTGTCTGATCGTTAAAGCCAAGGCCATTGTTTCGGTCAATGCAGCGTCACTCACAGCTGCAGGATACGTGTCGCGGGGCCCCAGAGTCCGCGGAATGTTCTCCCGCATCCCCTCCCAAGTCAGACTCCTGGAGCTCCAGCCTCCGAGGCAGAGGAAGACGTCCCTCCGGAGATGAAAAACAGGAACAGATTTCCTCTTCTTTCTTTCTGAGCCGGATCCCTGGAGCGTGTGCCTCCGGCTCCGAGCCCAGGGACGGACGCAGGCAGCGCTGCAAACGTGCTGCGGAAGCCAATGAAGGGGAGGGCGCTGGCCCGGCTCTCTCGTGGCCGAGCAGGCCACCGAGGCCCAGAGAGCATGTCTTGGGCGAGATCCAGGTTGTCGGTGGCTCGCCTCCAGCAGATCGGTGTTTGTAGCCGCTTTCCTCGATGCCCCAATTTTTTACGCCCTAAATTACTTCCTAGTAATAACAAGAGTTGGCATTGGAAATACTGAGCCGTCGTGTGAACATGGCTCAACACGAAGCTCTTTTATAAATGCCTAATCCTCGGGGCGCCTGGGGGGCTCAGTCAGTTAAGCGTCCAACTTCAGCTCAGGTCATGATCTCGCGGTTCGTGGGTTCGAGTCCCGCGTCCAGCTCTGTGCTGACAGCTCAGAGCCTGGAGGCTGTTTCAGATTTTGTGTCTCCCTCTCTCTCTGACCCTCCCCTGCTCACGCTGCCTCTCTCTCTCTCTCTCTCAGAATAAAAAAGATTTTTAAAAAATTAAAAAAATAAATGCTTAATCTTCATTATAAACAACAGGCAGGCATTGTATTCCTGATTTACAGACGAGGAAGCCAGACAGAGCTGACGGGGAGCTTCCCCGGGGATTATACGAGGAGAGGGTGGCGGAATCCACGTGGATGGCGTTCAGAAGCTTACGCTCATCAGCTCCACACAGGATGATGCCTCATTTAAAAGACAAGAACAACGGCGACCGCAAACTTTCATTAACTGATGTTTTTCAAAACACAAAAGTACGAGATTTGGTTGAAACCAGCTGATATAATGCCGCATGCAGAAACAGAAAGGCAGAGCTACCTCCCCGTCCCCGGGCCTAGGACACCAGCGCCAGCTGTCCGGCCGGTGTGCTCTGAACACTTTCCCTTTGCTCACACAATCCCGACAAGTTCACATGGGGCTGAAACTGTTTCTTATTCCCCACATACTACCTTACTATAGTCATTACTCTGCCACTTGCCTTTTTTCCTTAATATATGATGCATGTTCCTACCAAAAAAAAAAAAAAAAGACCTAAATCTTTTTCCTAGCTTCTTTAGTTACCTCTACAACACACGAGGGTACCGTTTTGCAAAGGTGGGTGGACTCCACCATTGGTGGGGGTTTGGCAGCCTCGCCCCCCACAGTCTGTCGTTTCCTTCCGCACTGTCTTCCACCCTCCTGTCCTGGGGGTGCCAGACCCAGCAAATAAAAATGCATTCCTGGGGCGCCCGGGTGGCTTAGTCGGTTGAGCGTCCGACTTTCGCTTGGGTCATGATCTTGCGGTTCGTGGGTTCGAGCCCCGCGTCGGGCTCTGTGCTGACTGCCAGCTCAGAGCCTGGAGCCTATTTCAGAGTCTGTATCTCCCTCTCTCTCTGACCCTCCCCTGCTCACGCTGTGTCTCTCTCTCTCTGCTAGAAATAAATAAAACATTAAAAAATAAATAAATAAAAATGCATTCCTGGGACAAAAACAGCTACGAAATAATTGCATGGGACGTACTTATACTAAAATTATAAAACTGGCTCCGAAACTGAGATTTAACTGCATGTCATCCAGCAACACGACTATATAAGTACACACACACACACACACACACGAGCCCCATTACAAGCACTGCTCCGAACCGCGGTGTTCTCATTCCAAACACCCGAGGCCGTGTTTCCGGGCCAGATGACGTGGCTCTCCTCCCTTGGCGGCCACGGAAGGGGCCACGGTGTGGCTGTTCCCTAGTCTGTCCCCCTGTCCCAAGCCCCCAGAAGGTTCCTCCCTGCCTCCTCGGTACCACCTGTAGCTTGGGGTTCGTGCTTTGGGGGCTGGGGAGCAGACGCAGACACAGCCCAGGGCTAACTAGCTCTTGCGCTTTAAACACCCCAGGTTTCTGTGTACGTATTTCTTCAGGAGAAGTGCTGGCGGCCGGCCCCGCGGAAACCAAGCGAGAAGCTCCCACGAAGCCCGGACCCCGTTTCGCACCTGTGCGCTCCCTTGGGAGGTCTTTCCTTGTGGGAAGAGGTGGATTTTCTTCTTTGGGCTTCTTCCTTTTAGAAGAAAACGTTAACTACTTTCCTCCGAGCAGAGATACTGGTTTGCTGGCAGCTGCAGATAAACCGGGAGAGGAAAGGGCTCCAGCTCTGGGGCCTGAGAATCCCGGGGGTCAGGACCTGGATCCGACGGGGGGGGGGGGGGGCAGCTTGTCTCTGGTCCAGGACCCTCCCTGGAAACTGTCCACCTTTTCCGAGACTCCTCATGGTCCTTCCGGTTAGAGATCGCAGCCGTAGGAGACGGTGTGCAGGGAAAAGGGGCAACAGAAGGGCAGAAACCGAGGCGGGGAGGGGGAAACGCGGCTGCAGGTGCAATCACGACGGGGGAGGGGAGGGGGAGGGGAGGGG